ACACCTACTGCAACACCTCCTTTGTTTCCCATCCCCATCCTCATCCAGAGGCTCTCCACCAGCAGCCCTGACTGTGAGGGCAGTGTCATCAAACCTGTCCCTTACCTGCCCCACCAGCCCCTCCTGAGCAGCTGCTCCCTCCATCCCAGCACTGCAGGGATGGGACTCAGCCCACCCAGTCCCACAGCAGCGATGGCACTGCGGCTCTGGGAGCTGCCCAACACTTCCAGTGCATCCTGGCTGTTCCTCCTGCTGCTCTGCTGGGGCACAACTGTTCCAGGTCTGCTCTGCGTGCCCGGGAGCAGCCTGTGTTCCCCTGGGACCTGCACCTTGGGATGTTACTGTTGGTCTCTGGTCAGGTGCTGTAAATCCAGTTGCACCAAACAATTTGGTGAAGTGGAAAGGTTTGAATCTCAGTTCTGATGCTGTTGGAAGTTGTGAGACTGTCGTGCTCAGTGCTGAACCGCAGCCTGGAGCAGTGTGGAGGCAGGAAGGCTGTTTTCTCTGCCTTAGTGGCAGACATGGACTAGAGAATGAAGCAGAAAATGAGTGGTTCTCAGCTCAGGGTCAGAAACAGCTTCTGTCCTTAGGGGATCTCCTCCTGCTGCTGGAGCTGCAGGTGTAGAAGCAGCTGTAGGTCAAGATTTTGTTGCTTGGCTGAGTGCAGCCAAGGTGGGGGGGCTGACTAGAGGTGGGGCAGTGCTGGGCATGAGCAGCCCTGGGGCCAGCTCCCATCAGGGCTAATCCCATGAGGCCCTGGAAGCTGGAACAGGAGCACCAGTGGTTGTGTAGCTCTGCCAGCAGTCACCAGGCAGTAATAAATGTGGGTTGAGTGCCAACCAGCGTGGCAGTGTCAGACCCACGGCTGTGGATTTGTGAGCTTCCCTCAGGGCACAGGAGTGTGGGCTCAGCACCTGCCACCTGGCCTGGGCTCCTTCTGTTGGTATTGCAGCATTTTACAAATGCATCTCACATCCTCCTTGAGGCTGAGCTGCCTCAGCCATGAGCAGCTTTTCCAAGTGATGTCACCATGGGAAAGAAGCAGCAAATGGTCTTGCTGGACTTTACTGTGGTACCTGCCACTGTCTCATCCCTCTGCTCCTGGTTTCATGTTCCAAAGTAACTGATCACTAACAACCACCTCCTCACCTCTCTCCCTCCTCTCCCATTTACATTCAGGTACACTGTACTCTTAAAAAAAATAGGGAAAACATCATATTGATGTTTCTCTGGGTAGAACTGTGGTCAGTCATGTCCTGGGCCAGGACTCGTCCCCGCCCCACTGCTCTCTCAGTTCCCTTTTCTCTGGCTGAGCTGGATCTTTGGAGCAGGATAACTTTGTTTTCCTTCAAGCAGGGAGCAGTACTGTATGTTTTTAGCAGGCTGTACCCGGTGTGTGTGGTGCACAGTCACTGGCAAGAACCAGGAAGCTTCCTAATGGCACTGTGCAATGAATGTTTGCTTCCTGGGAGAAATGGGAGTGGGATTCAGCAGAATCCACACCAGCTGGAGCTCTGGAGCTCTGTATGCTGGTATGGACTGAAAGCACAACTTTATGCATAAAGTCTGTAATATGAACATAAAATAATAAATAATTTACCATTTTCCCCCTGAATTTAGCTCTGAAGGACACGCTGAGCTGTTCTCAGGGCCCCACTGCCTCCCCTGCAGAGCAGTTACTCTGCAGAGCAGTTCCTCTGTGCAGAGCCAGCTCACTCACCCAAGGGTTTAATTAGCAGGTGAAGGAGGCACCGCTGACCTTGTTTATTGAGCCAGAATTAATTAACTCAGAAGGGTCATGTTTTCATTCAGTGACTGCTATGGTACAGATTTTTGAAGTTGATCCATAGTACTTGAAAATACCTCAATTTTATTGATATTTGTCCAATTCTATCAGCTTCTGCTTGGTTACAGAACACTTGCAAAAATCAGCTCGTTCTGAAGGGATCAATGACAGCATTTGCACGGTAGAGTGGCTGCTTTCAGTGCCAGCAATGGGCTGTCAAACAGCTTGGCAGGGCAGCCCCCCACGGGCTCTTAATGCTGCATTTCCTGCCCTGCTCATTAGCGCTGAGCTCGCACCCACTGCTGCAGCCTCTGAGTCTTGTCCTTGTTCCATCTCCCCTTGAGAGTTCTCTCTTCCTCCTAAACATATAGTTAAGATATTTTCAGCTATGAGCTGCTTGTGCTGGTTTTTGGATACTGTGAAGGTGAGTAGGTGTCATTTTATGCAGTTGTGCCTGTATTTTATTTGTAGTTAATCTGTTTGTCAGGTATCAGTTTGTGATTCTAATCATCAGGCCCAGCTGGCTTTGCTTAGAGCAGCAGGATCCCACTTCCTGCATTTTCTCTTTCCTAAAAACCTCATTTCTTCATTCTTTCACTTTAGTTTGGGATGTAAACCTTGTGAACTAAAATCTGAGTTTACATTTCAAATACAAGTCTGTAAATTGGTCATGCCTGCATGCTCCTTAAAAAAATTATTTTTTCTGTATAAGGTTTTAAGATTTACAGCAGCATTTGTAAAGCTTTACTGGGTAACAGACAATGTTAAAAAAGTGTATGTTGAGGGGGGGAAAAAGAGTAGCCCAAAAAACCCAACAAAAAGGACCAAGGGATCATCTTTGTTTCGGCTGTGTTTGAAAAGAAATGCCTGCTTGCATCAACCAGCCCATGGAACAGGCAGGGACTTCCCCTGAAGGCATCCCTGCTGTTTCAGTACTTCCTCAAGTACTTAATTTCTTGAGTTCAATATTGGACTAAATCCCATGGAACCAACAAAATTGTCCTCCCCATCTCCTTCCTGACCTGGAGAAGGTGTGTGCTGCCCCTTCTCAGATCAGCACTTTCCTTTGTAAGAGAAATAAAAATCCAGTGGACTCTTGACAAGGTCAGTGTATTATTTTTCCCCCCCTGCCTTTTTCTGGAGAATCCAGAAGCCTCCTGGATGTGTCCAAGAGAGAAATCCCTTGGCACCTGGGATCCCAAAGGATGAGTTTTGTGACTAAGAACTTGTGTGAGGAGGTGGAACCTGTTGTTCTGCTGTTCTGAACTAACTCCATGTGTGGTCATTTTTCCTCAGAATTAATGAAGTAGCTTCCTGCTCTACTCACTGCCCATCTAAGCAGAAGCTACTCCAGAGTGAATCCAAATCCACTGTTGGAGCAGGGAACTTGTAACAGCTTCCCTTTTGCTTAGGAACATAGGAAATAGAAAAGGTCTTGTTATTTTATAAATTATAATCTGATCAGATGGCTGATCTTCATCTGAAAATGCTGTTTATTGTGCAAATAGGTCCCTCAAAGATGAAACTTAATTTAAACCTCAGGATCAGACCATGGCAGCCCTGTCTGCATGTGCTGTTCAATGTTAGCAGGAGTTTTTACTTCGCCTCACAGGAAAGCCAGTGGGTTTCACTTGCTGGAGTTTTTCCAGGCAGGAAAATGGGGCTGAACAGCCACTGCAGGAGCTGCTGTGTGTTGGGAGCTCCCAACACGCGCCCTCTGCACCAGGGTCAGGGCTCCCACCACTGGAACCCCCTATGGAAGCTGAGCAGGCTCTGTGCCAGCAAAATCAGGGGAAACAACAGAATTCCAGTGGATTGGTGTGTTTACATCCAGCTGTTTTGCAGGAAGCAGCATGGGCTGGTGGGGGTGTTTCTTACCCCAGCTCTGGTCTGTGCTGTGCTCAGCCGGGTGCTCTCAGACAAATTCCTCACCTCTTCATTTAGTAGGAAATATCTATTTTCCAGTGAATGTCACAAAGGGACTGCTGCCCACCTTTGGGGTGCTGATTTGGGGTCAGGAGTATAATGCTGCTGCTGACAGTGAGACTTTTGATATCAAATGGGTTTTTACAAAAGCTTGGGATACTCATTTTTACTGTTGGACAAACGTTCTGACTACGCTGATGCTCTGTGGAGTTTCACTGGCATTTTCCAAGTGTTTGTACAGTTTCTACAGCTGAATATCCTGTATGTTCTGCTTTGTTGTTTTCTATTATGCTTTATACTGTACTGCAGGCAAGTACTGCATTAAAACCATTTTTGGCTAATTTATTATACTTGTGAGTGGTTATTTCCTACGCTCAGGCTAAATGTTCCCTCTCTGGAAGCCTCACACAACTTTAATTAATTGGAATTATCACTTGGAGCAGGGAAGGTTCTTTATTTGTGACAAAAAAGGATTCACTAAATGCTGGGAGTGGTGGGGGCAACCCAGGCCTTGGCACTCTGCTCACCTGCCGAGGTGCAAAGGACACTTGAGACAACCTTCCCTGATCCTGCATTTGTTAGAACATGGATATGTTTTAAAAGAATAATGGACTATATTGTACTTACAGATACATTTCCCCAAAGTTACAGTAAGGTAAGGCCAGTGCCAGCTGAAGTGCTGGACATCAGGTACCTGGTGCCAGGGGATTTAAAGCCAAAGACAGAAGGAATTTGGCCCTGATTGCTGTTTAATGTGACCCATACAATGAGTGCATTGAGGGCTTGGAAAGGCTGCTGAGCTCTGAGGGCCATGCTTGTCTGCTGGCTGTAAGTCCTGTTGCTCTGTGAACAGAACTAGAAATGGAGTCCCAGTTTATTGCTGCGGTTTTCCTCATTTAAAAGGGTTGGTGAGACCAATCCAGCCACAAGTTTTGACTCCTAAAACTCCCAAGTACTGTATGCGTAGAATTTCCACAGGCACTGCTGCTCCCACCCCTGATTCCCAGTTTTCCAGGGTATGTCTGCTGCACTAGGAAGCTTCTTTATTCAGGACCATTGAGCAAGACAACTGGGGATGTTTTACTATTTGAAAATAATGTACACAGAGCAAAATTCCTCTGGTTCTCAGCCACCAGCCGAAGACCAAAAATTCTGCCAAAAATTCCCTGTGGCTGCTCAGAAGGACACTGAGGTCCCAGTGCACCCCTAGTTTTGGAGGCATTGGGAGTGGCTGTACTGGCTGACCTGGAGTGATGGACAGTGACCTCAGAAATGAAGGAGGCTCTGGTGGGATTTAGTGGGTTTATTTGCTCTGCAGGCAGCCACAGACAAGAGAGAGAAGAATAAATAAGTTAAAGCAGAGTGTGGCAGTTTAACAACCCCAACATGGAGATGCTTGGCCGTGTAACCAGAGTGCTTTGATCCCTGTTCAGGCCAGAACTCACCTAAGTCAAGTATTTCCCCCTTTGGCCAGAAAGGTTCCCAAACATGCCCTTGACAACTCAACAATAATAAAACATAGAAAAAACCTCTTGTAATGTGTCATAGAGTCACATCCAGTTGTTCTGAGATTGTCAGTCTGTTCCAAAATACTTCTGTCCAAAGTGTGTTGGTGCAACAGGATGCACTTCTGTAGTTAAAATGGTGATTTCTGGGAATTCCTGGATGATGGATTTGGCACCTTTGAAGAAAAAGCAAAGGCAATAATGACTACAGTGCTTCAGCACATGCCAAATCAGGATCAGCAGCACTCTGAAGGTGAGGCAGGCTCTGTGCTCCTGTCTCCACTTCCTGTTCCTGCCTTAGCTAATGTCTGTGAAGAAAACTTCCTGACTGCAGGGGATTGCTTTTTTGGGGGTCTCTTCTTTGGATTTTCCTTTCCTTTACGGTACACGTGTACTCCCCACCTAATGACTAAAGTGGTTCCAGGCTGCCAGGAATAAGTCCCTGCAGTCCAGCTCAGTGTTTTGGTAGTGATTTCTGCCATGGCCCATTTCTAAAACACAGGAGGCCCATTTTCATACTTCCCAAAGGCAGATGTCCCTGGTTTAGATCCCCTTTTCCCAGGTAACATCTCTACCGTGCAGACAGGACTGTTCTGTAGCTCCATTCACCTCCCACTCCTGGCAGAACTGGTATCCTTTTGGTGCTGGACCTACCCATCCCATTCCATGGGCTACTGCCATTGCTCTGGGAGTCATGGAAGCCCTTCATGGACCTGGCAGTGCTGCAAAATCCTGCTTTTAGGAATCCTTTCCCATTCGGCGTGACAGGCCCTTTCCTTTCTGCTGCCCCACTCACTGCCCACACCAGGGCTCTGTTTTACAATTCAGCCATAAAACCCCCATCCCCCTCTGTTCTGGGCTGTGGCAGAGGCTCAGCTCTGCCCCACTGTGTCACACGTGGGACTGATGTCACCTCCCCAGGACACCCCTGTGCCCCCCACAGCCCTGACTCACCGTGGGGTGTGGAGAACAGGCTGAGCAGGATGATGACACTGGGCTGGACCCCGTGTTCCACCAGCACCTTGACAGCCTCGATGACAGTGTTCCCAGTGCCTGCAGGGGACAGAGGGACAGACTGTGTGGGTTTTTCCCCTGGATGATGAACATGTCTGAGCATACCTGTGGTAATGTTGGTGTGTGACTGAATGGTGATTCTGTCCTTTCCCACTGGAAAGCCATCACCTCTGCATGTGTTAACCAGAAAATGCTGCACTCCTAATGAAGGAACTTAGACTGGAAAAGTTACCTCATCCCAACAAACTCCTTATCAGAGTAGGGGTTTTTTGTCAGTATTAACTGGATTTAATTTTAAAGTAATTTACTTCTCAGATTTTAATATTGATCCAAAAATGTTTTTTAATAATGTAAGAAAAATACTGTTTGAATCTTGTCTCATGGCAAAATTTAAAAAAAATCAATTTATACCAAGTCTTAATCTTCAGCCTTTCTCCCAAACACCACCATGGCCAAAGGATTTGCTTTGCATTCCCACTGGTGCAGCTGACTGATGTGTGTCCTGGCACAGCCTGATAATTCCCTGCTCTGTCACCTAAACCAAGCAGAAAACCTCATCCAA